CCTGAAATACAGATTGAAATAACTAAGAGAAAATGTTGGGATGATGTCTTTACTAGAGAATTTAGTAACTTATATTACTGAAAACAACTTGTCAGAGCAGACTGTTACAGGACATTTGCCTTTTATAATACTGCAACTCTAAGAAAAATTATTCAGAATGAATATTACTCCTTAATCATCTAATCCCCAAAAAAATCTGTTGTAACACGGTACACAGATCAATTAATCTAGATATATCAGGGACATTTCAGCAGGAAACAAAGAGCATACTCAAACTCGAAAACTTGATGGCAGTAATTCCAAGAACTTCACAAAGACATGGGATGGGCAGGACACAGGACCAACAGGAGACAGTCTAGTGCCCCAGAGCTAGCAATACTGGGAAGCGGCACCCAGCCTGTGCTCTGAGGGGCAAGGAAGGGGGAGGGGTACTTAACTAAAGCCCAGAGATGGTAACTATGCAGATGGCCATCTGGGAGAAGCTACAGCCTTCGACAGGAGGTGCCATCAACCCTCAGTGACCTCACAGGGAGGAAGGTAAGGAAATAAATACCCGAAACCTACACAACGCCTTCCCATCCCTCTCACTGCCTACCCCAATCGGAACCAAAAGGCAAGGGAGCCTGTCAATAGTGTTCATAAAAGCCAGGTTTCTGGGGCACAGGACAAGGTGAGGAAGAGTAGAGAGTGGACCTGCCAAGCAAACAGCCACCTGATGTGCATTTCAGCTTTTCCTCCTTCTCTTCTTTACAGACAAGAATGCCCAAGACGTGAACCTTTTCAAGAGAGGTCTTTAAATGACTCAATTATAAAGTCTCTCAATAACCAAGAGCTTACTATAATCTGTATAAAAGAAGCTTTACCCGAATCTGGGCCAAAGGTTACATCTGTATTTGGCAAACAAACAAAGTTCTTGAAGTTACTAACACCATTTTAAAATCTAACCCCAGATTTGAGGCTAGCTAATAAACTATACAACTTTTCTTTGATCTGCATGGTGAAAAAACCCTCCCTGTGGTGTGTTTAATTTTTGTGAGGAAGAGAACACTTTTTTTTTTTTTTAAAGATTTTATTTATTTATTTGAGAGAGAGAGAATGAGATAGAGAAAGCATGAGAGTGGGGAGGGTCAGAGGGAGAAGCAGACTCCCCGCTGAGCAGGGAGCCCGATGCGGGACTCGATCCCAGGACTCCAGGATCATGACCTGAGCCGAAGAGGCAGTTGCTTAACCAACTGAGCCACCCAGGCACCCGCAAGAGAACACTTCAAACAACTTTCACGGTTTAAATTCTATAGAGGTTTGCGTAAAACCCAAAGATGAAATCATGGTACAATAAAATAGCCCCTTGAATTGTTTTCAACCATATTTCCTAACACAGATATTTCTCACCAGGATTTCTAAATAATTATTCCATACATCCAAGATTCCATTAAATGACGTCCAAAAACAGGCAAAATTAACCTATAGGTTAACTTTTGATGGCAAGAGGACTTGGGCTGGGAGAAGGCAGGAACAAACTTCTGGGTGCTGTTAGAAGCATTCTGTATCTAGATGTTGTCTTCTGTCTTGGTAAATTATGACGCATACCAAGAATCACTGGGCTGTACAATGAAGAAGGAGTACACCTCACACACCCACTGCCTCTTCGAGGTCTACTGTATCTCAATTTAATAAGACAGTTACCCTAGGGGCGCCTGGGTGGCTCAGTCGTTAAGCGTCTGCCTTCGGCTCAGGTCACGATCCCAGGGTCCTGGGATCGAGCCCTACATTGGGCTCCCTGCTCCGCAGGAAGCCTGCTTCTCCCTCTCCCACTCCCCTTGCTTATGTTCCCTCTCTCGCTATCTCTCTGTCAAATAAATAAATAAAATCTTTAAAAAAAAAAAAGACAGTTACCCTATTGAAGGACTTCCATGATTACCTACTCAGCCAATATCTTAAGGCAGAAAATGTGTGGGTCAGGCAGTTACCAGAGGGCAGCAAACTAGGGTCCACAGGCCACGCGCTTCTTTCCTAAGTGGAGCTTTCCTGGAACGCAGCCATCAGCTGCTTTCACACCCCAGCTGCGGGGTCCAAGAGGTGCAAAAGACACCTGGGAAACGCAAAGCCTCAAGTATTTTCTATCTTACCCTTTAAGACAAGTTTGTCAACCCCTGACTTAATCTTCAAATAATATATTTAACAGAAGGAGGACTCAAAAGACAGCAAATTACTCCGTTCATCGCCATCAAGAATTTCATAAAACTCTCACGTGGGGATGGCAGGTTCTTTGGCCTTAAGCTGATCAGCACCACGGGTTTATGTTAAGACATAAAAAACCCCAACATTTTATTTGTCCTTACACAATGCTAACTTAATCTGGTGCCACTGTTTTAAAAATAGAATCATACTTTTTTTTTTTTTTAGAAAAAATTAAGATATTTGGCATATTAAAAAAAAAAGGTGGAAGATGGAGCAACACTGACCCCATCCCTCCACGGGAACAACAAGCTGAAGTGACTCCAGCACCAGTGAGGGTTAAACACTAGCCTCCACCATCCCCTGTTATAACAGAGTTGAGACAAAATGAAATACTGCTTTGATTTTGCCTATATGAAAGTAGGAAAACAAAAGACAGAGGGTCAAGTGTTTCTTACCACTCAGCTCACTTACTACTGTCATGGGCATGTGAGTTTGCAACCTTAGGTTTAAGCAACGGCCTCAAGGGAAAATGGCAGAGCAGAATCAAAGATATCCGAGGAGCAAAAAGGGCAAGAGTTAACGTGATGCTTGCAAACATCAAGTGACAGGGATCTCCCTCACATCTTCCCAGTGGTCCTACTACTGTCTCAGGGCACTTCTGTTAAAAAGCTTTGTCCTATTTTTGCAACCTCTTGTGAGTCTATCTGTAATTATTCTAAAAATAAACGTTTAATAAAAAGAAAACTGTTGTTTCCCTACACTGATTAAAAGTGTGTCTTCCTTCCTATACCTTAACTGATCCTTAACTATAGAACAAATTTACTCCCTTTTCTGCCAGAAAGTTCCCCCATTATCTACAGCTCTCTTGCCCAGATCCCCAACAGTCTCCTTTCTCAAAGAACTACAAAAGTAACAAGACTTTCACATTTCTTGTCCTATACAATATTCATTCAATCAGCAAATATTTATGGAGCACCCACCTCTGAGTAAGGTACTGTTCTAGACTCTGGGTACATAACAGTGAACTATGTTCTTGCCTTGTGGAACCTACAATTAGATTACTATGTCTAATAATGTAGCATAAGCTACCATTAGACTCTGTAGCAGCCATATCACTTTCAATTTTATTGCATGTATAGCTTACTAAATTCCCTAATCCTTTCTCATATATACACTGCTCAGACTGTATAGTCAAGCAAGCAGGTCACTGGATCCAAATTTCTTTTATGGTCATCCTTGCTAAATATTGTATTTTTAGAATCTGTTCTTTCCTTCAGTCTGTCAAGAACTTTTGGAATGCCAATGTCTTTTCCACCTTAACACACACCCTACCCTTGTCCATAAATCTGATAAATAAACCTTTCTGTAGAGTCAACCAAGTCAGTCATTAAAATGTTTAACAGGACAATACTGAGGTAACTAAGAACCCCATGACATCTCACTAGCATCTACCTAGACATGGATCCATTATTCATTCCTCTGCGGCAACCCGCACTCAACCAGCTATGTGTCCACCTGACTGTATTATCAAATTAACATCTGTCCACAAGAAAATTATTGGGTTTAAGTCAAACACCCTCCTAAAGGTTAGTTACTTACCAATTTTCCCTAATCATCTTGGGGGGAAAAGTAGGATTTTTTTTAAATGGGAAGGGAACAGTTAAAAAGGAAGACCAATGGAAGAAGAACAGGTCATTATACAGCTTCCAAAAATAAATCAGAAATCTTTAAAAATGTTAGATATATTTTTAAAAAGAAAATCAGTTTGAGGGGAAGTGAAAATCATGCCATTCCTGAAAAGCAAAAACCTGTTTTTGAGACAATTTATGTTGTTATATGGACTTTTACAGACACACTGGCTGATTTCCCTACCACCCCAACACCCCGCCAAAATAAACTTTTTGCCTTCAATACAGTCACCGGTGGTTATTAAAAAAACGGAAAGGTCTTTGAATTTCAACAAGTATATCTGAACTCTCTAAGTTCTACAATTCATATTAGGGAGTCAAGCTGAACTATTTGAAAATGCTAATATGTATGAATAAGGCATGAAGCATGATGCACAAGTTAATCTTCAGCACTTGGGATTGAAATCACATAACAAGATAATTCATGAATATGGTAATAATTGCTCTCTGGCACAAAACCTGAAAGCTCGTTATGCATTCTAAGCAAATTTTACATTTTAAGTAAACCTCCTGAGTATCATCTTCAAACTTTAGAATTAACATCCGGCACAAGTCATTGGACACAATCTGGGATTTTTGACAATTTGGCAAAAGTGGCATTAACAGTTGACCCCACTGAGAAAAGTTTTACCCAACAACACAAACAAGTTTATGTGAGGCACAGAGGACCATAAGAAAATAAACTTAACCCTTTAGCCCTGTTTGTGTCAAGAAGGGTCATTAAATGTTACTGAAAAATAATTATATTCATTAAAGCCAGATTTTTACTACTCAGATCTTCTTTTTAACCCAGATGTTATATCTATCTGGAAAATAACAAAATGAGATTTACTGCTAAATAGTCTAAACTTGTCCTTCTTCACCAAACTTCCAAAGCCAACTGAAATAGCATTATTTCAATGCTGAGTTAATTAAAGCACAACGCCTCACCCTGTCTTGTGTCATATATGAAACTTACAAGGTTTCTAATTTTATTCTGTGAAGAGGTCTTAAACATAAGTACTTAAAAGTGGACTTGTGTCCTATCATACTACATCCAATTTGCTATAATTCTTCTCCTGCTCTCAAAATTGACAGTTTGGGAATTGTAGAATGTTAACCTCCAGAGCAATTCTTTCCCTCCCAATTGCTTACCTGAATATATTTCCGCTGTGTTTCATCATTTAAAACATGTGCAACATGCTTAGAAAAAATCTTTTCTCTGCCAGTTCTGGCATGGATACCAACCATGGTGACACCTATGGGCCAAGGGGCATTTCCAATGGCCATCTGAAGATAAGCATCATTAGCCTAAAAAGAAAGTTTAAGAGATTAGAAAAGCAAAAATACTGGGTTGGTCCCAATTTGTGAAGTATTTCACAGCCCTTTATGACATAATTTTCATCCATCTCTTGAGCATGTTGAGAGTATTACCGTTCCCATTATTCAAACAAAAGAAATTAAAATATGAGGTGATGGACTGCCCTGCCCAGGTCCATGGAAAACCAGAAACCAAAGCTAATCCTGTGAGTAAAAAGACAAACATTCCTTTGCAGCCTTTGTGCACTGGCAACTAATACATTTCAGATCTGGAATTACCAGGTAGGTAACTTGATGCGCTGACAGAAACTCTAGTTCGGGTCTCCTCCAGACCCAGTCTTCTCTGCAGGTGGTCACACGCTGAAGATGGAGGCTAATTGGTTTTTCAGAATCCAACCTGCAACTATGTGTGCACAGCCCTGCAGGCCTCTGAAAGCAGTGGGGGCTCTGTGAGCTGGGACTATCATATAGGGTCCACAGCAGAGGTGTAAACAGAGATTAAATACTAACCCTCGAGCCGAATAGTTACAGGGTGAGATCGTTTCACTTTGGCCACTCTACACCTCCCACCTGCCAAGAACGTTAAAAGAAAAGCTACAGAATATAAGGATAGAACCCGATGAAGACAAATGGCTCTTTTTCTAAACCAAGCCTAGCTACCTAGGAGGAAAAAAAATAAAATAGAAATGAAGTAAATTCTGAAAGACCCCTAGGGTTTCAGGGAGGTTCATACAGTCAGGTCTCGAGGAGATTTTAGTTTTGAAAACCAAAGACCTATGTGATTGATGTGCAGAGTTGATTTTAAAAATCAGATATTACAAATAGGCTAACTGGAAGATCATTTCTACCCTGAAGACAAATTTGAATTTGCCCTACTCAGTTTTATAAAATTTAATTTTAAAGAACATGTTACACACTTTTATCACACAGATTCTGACTTGAATCACTTTTCACACTGGATATTAACTGATAAAATGTCCAATATTTAGTTCCCCCAAATTTCTAAAGAAAGCTGTCCAAATAGGTTATTAAAGTTTCTTGGTTCTTCAGCAGTTTACACAAAATAAACTTTCACATTCCTCTCATATGAAAATGCAAAAAGTAACAAGAGGGAAGGCATGCTCACTAGTTGGCAAGTGATTTGATTTCTTTCTGCAGTGACGGTGACCTTATCCATCTATTCCAAGGCAACTGTCCTTACTAAGTACCATGCAACTACTAGAAACTATAAAGGAATAAAATTTATAGGCACAAAACAAAAACATTTCCTTTGCTAAAACAAACTGGCTCTCCAACAGAGGGAGTAAAATCACTACGTTCACCTCATTTGCCCAAGGCTCCAGCCCCCACACGTGCTAGCCCACCCTCTGCTTGAGTACAGAAACTCCAAGCGCAGGAGTAAGCACTGGCACCCCCACTTTTCTGCTAGAGCCCCACATACTACTCTGGAATGGTCAGCAAAACTGTTGGCCGAAACTCCCTCCTCTTCACTCCTGAGAGGCACTGCCACTAGAAGCTTCCCTCTTGAGACTCTGCTGATGGGCCAGACGCAAGGGCACATTTCCAATCCCCACTACTGGTACAGCAGGCATTCTCTTTACGTTCCCTGCACCAACTGACAGCCTCCCACTCCCCTTTCTGAACTCCACTCCAGGAGCGCTGGGCCACGGGGAGCTCCTTCCTCCTGCCGCCGCCTCCTCCTCGAGCCCATTCAGGAGCAAAGACACGGGGGCAAGGGGAAAAGTCTTCCCTAACAAGGGGTCTGCTATTGTTGCTGTTCTGAAATGGGAGGGATGAATTCTGGTGGCCTTACTTGGAATATTTTCTCATACAAGTATAAAGGGTGGTTAAATTCCATTGTATCGTTAGTACAATAGCTTATCTATATTACAGATTAAGTAGGCTTTTTATAGCTGGAGTGGGAAACTAATCTACATAACATTGTTTCTATGGGAAAATTTGTTCCAAGCCATAATCTTGAACAATCTTTGAAATTCAATCCCATTCATGAAATGAACATTGCCTAGATCCAGTTCACGCTCTGAAGAATCTTCACACCTACCTTAAAAATGACTAAAAAACCAATGTGGTCAGTAAAGTTTATTATCAATGCCTAATAATAAAGCTGACAATGTGAATTAGATAAAAGGTTTTGGGGTTTTTGGTTTTTTTTACTATAATTCATTTCACATTTATTCTTAAAGCTCCTATGTAAAATACTCCCACACCAAATGAAGGTGTTATGCACACACAACCTAGATAAGCTCATAACCATGATACTGATGCCCAACATGGTAATGTACCTTTACATATTCTCTCTGCAACATGAATTTAATAATATCTGTTATGGATTCTTTAATATCAGCAGGAAGATTCTGGAAAAGAAAAAAAAAGCGTTAACTATTTTTGGAAGCTACTGTGTATAATTACAGACTGCCATTTATTCAAACTTTATATATTCTCTTTTTTAAAAAATCAGTTATGTAAAAGCATTTTTTGAGGAACCTTACCCTTTTCCGTAGCTTTCTGAAAAGGGGTCTGAGATAGGACTCAGTCTGTTTTTGAGTAGCACTGTTCAGTTTGCCCTGCACACTGCGCTTCACATAATCTTCTCTGGCATTCAGTTCTTTAGCCCAAACACCAAGAAGAAACTGTTGAAAGAATGGGTAAATTTAGACTACGATGCCACCCAGTGGTTCAAAAGGTTTAAAAGTTCTCTGACACACAAACAATATATTATCATATTTAGAGTAAATTTTTTTCTAATCAAAATAGCATCAATATCTAATTAATGAACTATTTCTGCTTATTTTGTCATACACAACACATATATTTTGTAGTGCTTTTAGCAAGTCACAAACTTCCCTATTCTATATATGTATGTATTCCTAGCTCAAAGATAATCAATTTCCCCCTAACAAGAACTATCAAATTTCAAATTTCATAGGTAACTTTGACAGAAATAAACTTTTACTCGTATTTCTACTAAAATTCAACCCACCTACACTTATTTGCCATAATACCGTATGTGCTGTGATAATTAATCTTCCAAGTATGATGTTATAATACAGGCATACCCCATGGACACTGCGGGATTGGTTCCACACCACCACGTTAATAAAGCGAGTATCACAATAAAGTGAGTCAAGTGAATTTTTTAGTTTCCTAACGCATATAAAGTTATGTTTACACTATAATGTAGTCTATTAAGCATAGGATAACATTACATCAAAAAAAAAAAAATAACCAATACATATACCTTAATTAAAAAATACATTATTGCTGGGGTGCCTGGGTGGCCCAGTCGGTTAAGCATCCGACTCCTGATTTCTGTTCTCAGGGTCATGAGAGTGAGCCCCCGCATCAGGATCTGCGCTGGACATGGAGCCTGCTTGAGATTCTCTTCCTCTCCCCCTCCCCCCTTAAAATTTAAATACGTTATTGCTAGAACAGGCTCATCATCATCTGAGCTTTCATGTCCTAATCACTGATCACAATTAACCATGACAAATATAGTAACAAAGAAAAAGTTTGAAATATTGCGAGAATCACCAAAATGTGACAGAGATAAAAGGTGAACAAATTCTATTGGAAAAACAGTGCCGATACACTTGCTCCACATGTGGCTGCCACAAACCATCCATTTGTAAAAACTACAACAACAACAAAACCCCCAAAACAACAACAAAAAACCACCGAAGAAAACCGCATTATCTGCAAAGCACAATAAAACCAAGCACTATAAAATGGGGTATGCCTCTATTTGGACTTTCTGCTTTTGTAGTAGAGATGATGATTTAGTTAAATATTCCCAATAAAGCACCTGACAAAGGAGAAAGAAGGAAAACAAAGAACAGAAATAAAGAAACTATAACCCCTCCACCCAGCCCTGGAAAGCCACCCTAGTGCCCTTGGGTTTAAATGCATCAAGAACATGGTTTCTAGAGGCAGGTACACAGGGAAGGTGGCGGAGGACATACCCCCCTAGTGGCGTTACCTATGGGTAGCCTCTATAAAGAGAGGCTGTCACTCAGAAAGGAAAATTCTAGTTCACACTAGTTCCCATGCCTATCTAATTCCATGCCATATCCTCAACAGACTGAGAATCTTGACGACTAATATGTTGCATTTAAATTGTTAATACAAGTAAAAGCACTTCTTGCGTTTTAATCTCTTGGCCTGAACACAAATAGTTTGTGAATAAATGCTAAAATGAATCTGGCATTTACACACACTCTACCTAAACCAGTAAAGTAAGAAATGCTGAGGAGAAAGATGGATTGAGCTCATCATAGCAGGAATATGCAGCTATCTGTAGAACTGAGAAAATGAACAGTCTCTGAAAGGTTGCTGATGGGTTTGCTTTTTTTCACTGCCAAGGTCTTCCCACCTCCTTCCTCTCTTTACTGTCATCACCACTCATAATAGCTTCTGGAACACTCCCCTCACTGCACTCCCTCCTGGAGTGTTTTTAAAAAAAATGTTTTACTCCCCCAACTTCTTGTTCATTCCACTGCTTTGATTCTGCGTGTTTACATTAACAAGTCAGTTTTAAAGTGCAGCAGTGAAGTAAATATACATCTCCTTTGATTAACCTCTATATCCCAGTGCACAGCAATATCATAAACTGTATACGTGCAAAACATGTTTACTGAGGGATTCCCTTTCCAGTCCTTAACCCTTAAATCATCCAAAAATTCAACAACAGTTTTTAACCAACCCAAATGTCCTTTCCTAGCCTAAAAACACATACCTTAAGGAACTTGGTAATGATATCCATGTCCTTATGATCATCGCCTTTTCCTAAAGATTCTCCCAATGCCTGCAGAAAAACAATGCTTCTGTTCATTAGTAAAGACCAAAAGCTGAACAGATGTTCTCAACACCAGTATGAACATGGACCTTTATTACATATACTAATTTCTATTTTTAAAAAACCTAAAGGAATTTTTAGGTAAGTTAAACAAACCAAGAACACACTGATTTGTCACTGAAATTTAGAGAGCAAGGTATCATTTATAAATCAAAAGACAAAAAAGGGGGGCTTAGGGAACTAAAGGGTAGATTTCTTTTTAAAGGAGCAGAAACGTTCTAGAATTAGGTTGTGATGATGGCTGCATCAACCTGCGAATATACTAAAAACCAGTGAATTGCGTATTTTAAATGGGTAAGCTGTAAAGTATGTAAATATCTCAATAAAGCTATTTAAGTAAAAAGAAAGCCCAGAAATGGTTGCTCACACTATTTCTGTCAAATTTAGGGTCCAAAGAAAGGTGCTGGGGGTGGTAGGAGGAGAGGCACAATTAAAACAACTATGATCTCATGAAGAATGCAGCCAGGAATGAAAAGAAAAGTAAGTTTATGTTTATTAAGCAGTAGAAGCTTTCAACTAAGCCATAATTTCTGCTTGAGCTAGATATTTAGATAGCACAACACAGCTTTTTAATTAGGATTACATGTATCACTCCACATTCAACACGTTGGCAAAAATTAAAAAGCAAGATACTGCCAAGTGTTGGCAGGGCTGTGGGAGTAAAAGGCTTGCCCACCCTTCTGACGGGGGTGTAGACTGGTACAGCCATTCCAGAGAGCAACGTGACAGAACCTGGACAAGTTACACATATAAAAATCCAGCCATCCTGCTTCTGAGTCCACAGGGGTTACATACAAGACTATTCATCACAAAGCTGTCTGTAGTAATAGGGAGCTGGGAGCAATCCAGCTCTCATTACAAGGCAACAAAAAGTAAAAGGCAGTGAATGCCACAAAATATGAAATGCTATGCAGGAGTTAAAAATCAATGGTTCAGATATACATAAAGCATCAAGGATGGATCTTAAATACAGTTCAAAGTGGAAAAAAGAAATGTAAAAAAAAAAAAATTCACAGTATGGTATCATTTATGTATATTAAAAACACAAGCATACAAAATACTACTGGTTTTACAAGACCACCAACAAATAAGAGGATGCACATCAAATATATCAGAATGTGAGTGGAGAATGAGTAAAGAGGGAGTGAATGGGGCGCCTGGGTGGCTCAGTCGTTAAGCATCTGCCCTCAGCCCAGGTCATGATCCCAGGGTCCTGGGATCGAGCCCCGCATCGGGCTCCCTCCTTGGCGGGAAGCCTGCTTCTCCCACTCCCACTCCCCCTGCTTGTGTTCCCTCTCTCACTGTGTCTCTCTCTGTCAAATAAATAAATAAAATCTTTTTTAAAAAAAAAGGGAGTAAATAAAAGCACAAAATTTAAAAAAAAGAAAAAAAAAAGGCCTTTGTAATGACCACAGACCATAGTTGTGTGCTCTGAACTGAACAATATGATGAACTCAAGCATCTGCCCCAGAGAATGAAGGGATATGATGGGGTAATGAGATCAGGTGGGTGTAAAGATTACCTCTAACTCTTCAATTGTGGTGTTTTCTTCATGAACTTTCAAATCATTCTGTGTGTCTTCCTCTCCAGGTTCCTGACCACCCACAAGCTCATTGAGGTACTGCTGGTCGATCTTATCCAAAGCTGCTTTCAGATCATTCCTCAATCCCTGAGAAAGGTGAAAAAATACATACATTATGGAATTTCACTGATGTTTCCCTTTTGATTTTTCACTACTACTAAGTACAATTCATTTTTTTTCCTCCACAGGAGTTAATAAGAGCTTAGTAAAACTAGAGACTCTAAGATTTCAATTTATTACGCAGCTATCATCATTGCCCAAAGTTAATTATAATGAACATATTTAAATTTTAAAGAATGTATGCACAATAGCTACTCTGGCCAGAAAAATAAAACATATGTGTTGACCAATCCAAATGAGAATATTCATAAATGCTGAAATTTTCTAATGAGGTCTAGCACAAGTGAGCAGGTCTCCACTAGAGCCTTCAACCCATTTTCCCAGTTTATTTAAAATGTCTAACCTCATTGTAACTACTCTGAATTCCCTTAACATTCAGCAGTATCAATAATATGAAACTAGTGTCTCATCTATATCCTAGGCTTTCACTAGGTTTCTCATAAACCAGCAAATTCCACCATCTATTCATATCCAGTTTGTGACCATTTGGTAAAAATAGAAGAAGCCTTAAAGCTGGACCCACACCTTACACCACATACATAAACTAACTCAAAATGAATCAAAGACGTACATTTAATAGCTAAAACTATAAAACTCCCAGAAGACAACACATGGGAAAAGCTTCATGATATTGGATTTGGCAATCATTTCTTGGATACACCACCAAAGGCACAGGCAAAAAAAACCCCAAAATACAAAAGAACAAAATTGGACTTCATCAAAATTAAAAACTTTTCTGCAAAGATACTATCAATAGAATGAAAAGATCACCTGTGCAATGGGAGAAATATTTGCAAGTCACTAATCTGATAAAGACTGATATCCAGAATATATAAAGAACTGCTACATGTAACAACAACAACAAAAAACCACTCACTAAAAATGCGCAAAGGTCTTGAATAGAAGACCACACATAAAAGGCCAATAAGCAAACAAAAAGATGCTTAACATCACTAGTCATTAGGGAAATGCAAATCAAAACCACAATAACGGGGCGCCTGGGTGGCTCAGTCAGTTAAGCATCTGCCTTTGACTCAGGTCATGACTGAGCTCTGCATCGAGCTTCCGGCTTAGCGGGAAGTCTGCTTCTCCCTCTCCCTCTGCCCCTTCCCGCTGCTCGTGCTCTCTCTCATGCTCTCTCACTCAAATAAATAAAACCTTTAAAAAAAAAATACACACAATAAGATACCACTTCAAATCCATCAGGATGGCTATGATCAAAGATAGTAGTAGTAGTAAGTGTTGGCTAGGATGTGGAGAAATGGAACCCTTCATTGCTGGAAATGTAAAATGGTGCAGCTGCTGTGGAAAATGTAAGGCAATCACCTCAAAAACTTACACACAGTCACACCAAGACACATTCTAATTAAAATATCAAAAGGTAAAGGAGAGACTATTAAAAGCAGCAAAATAAAAACCATTTGTTGTGTACATAAGACTATTAGCAGATTTTTCAGCAGAAATTTTACAGGACAAAGGGGGCAGAGCATAATATATTCAAAGTGCTGCAAGAAAAAACTTCAAAGCAAGAATACTCTACCTCACAAAGTCATCATTCAGAATTGGAAGAGAAATTGTCTCCCAGACAAGCAAAACGAAGTGAGTTCATCGCCACTAAACCAGCCTTAAAAGAAATGTTAAGGGGCCTTCTTTAAGCTCAGGGGGTTAATTAGTAATACTACAACATATGAACGTATAAATCTCACTGGAATAGGTACATATACAGTAAAGGTAGTAGATTAATCACTTATGAAGACAAAGGTAGTAAAACTAACTAACTACAATCATTAGTTAAAGGATGCACAAGAAAAACATGTAAAATGTGACATCAAAAACCTAAGATGTGGCCAGGAGGAGTAAATATGGAGAGCTTTAGAGTGCATTCACACTTATGTTATCATCTTCACATATTTCCAATTATAAAATAAGTCACAGGAATGTAATGCACAGGATGGTGACCACAGTTAATGCCTACTTAAAAGTTAGTAAGAGTAGATCTTAAAAGTCCTCACCACAAGAAAAAAAAAAATGTATGGTGACAGATATTAACTACACTTATTGTGGGGATCATTTCACAACATACACAAATATTAAATCACTAAGTTGTACATCTGAAACTAATATGTCAATTATACCTCATTTTTAAAAAAATTTACAAATGAGAGAGCTTCTGCCTTCAGCTCAGGTCCTGATCCCAGGGTCGTGGGATCGAGCCCCACATCGGGGTCCCTGCTCGGCGGGAAGCCTGCCTCTCCCTCTCCCACTCCCCCTGCTTGGGTTCCCTCTCTCGCTGTGTCTCTGTCAAATAAATAAAATCTTAAAAAAAAAATTTCCCGGGCACCTGGGTGGCTCAGTTGGTTAAGCGACTGCCTTCGGCTCAGGTCATGATCCCAGGGTCCTGGGATCGAGTCCCGCATTGGGCTCCCTGATCTGTGGGGAGCCTGCTTCTCCCTCTCCCACTCCCCCCGCTTGTGTTCCCTCTCTCGCTGTGTCTCTCTCTGTCAAATAAATAAATAAAATCTTTAGAAAAAAAAAAAAAATTTCCCGGGATCGAGTCCCACATCGGGCTCCCTGCTCAGCGGGGAGTCTGCTTCTCCCTCTGACCCTCCTCCCTCTCATGCTGTCTCTCATTCTCTCTCTCGCAAATAAATAAAATCTTAAAAAAAAAAAATTTTTTTTTTTTTTACAAATGAGAAACTCTTTTTAGTATCTGGGACAAGCTTGAGCAAGATTAAAATACAGCAGGTTGTAATGAATTAATATTAATAACTAGGAATTTTTCAAGGAATGAAACATGACTAGTAGAAAAATTAAATCACATACTAATAGTTCACATTAGTATTTTAATACTATCTTTGGTTAAGAAAGGAACTCAGAATATAGAAAAGAAATAAATGTTGGTAAAAATGAAGCATTATAAAAACCACTAACTCTAAGAATTTAAGGTTTTAAACAGGACTGAAAATTTTTTGTAAAACTGCCGTGAACATTACAATGGAAGAATATTCTTAATTCATTTATGCTTAAAAGAAGTTAAACGGAGAATGACTGCATGATCCACCAAGTCTACATCTGGGGTGTACACAAAAGAAGTGAAAGCAGGCACTCAAACAGGTATTTGTAAACCTATGTTCAAAGCAGCATTATTCATAATAGCTGTAAGGTAGCAACAACTCAAATGCCCATTGAAGCTGAATGGATAAACAAATTCTCTCCATACATATAAGAGAGAACTATTCAGCCTTAGGAAGGAAGGAAATTCTGACCTACATTATCACATAGATGAACCTCTAAGATATTACGCAGTTGGAAGGCCAGTCCAAGGGAGCCTTTGATGACCCTGGCCACAGTCCACATCTAACTGCAATCACATGCGAGACTCCAAGCAAAAAAAACTGTCCAGTTTACCCCCACCCAATCAAACCACAGAACCGTAAGAGATAATAATAAGTTACTAAGCTTCAGGGTGGTTTGTTATAGGCATAGAGGACTGAAAAAGATTTTATTTTATTTTTTTAAAGATTTTATTTATTTATTGGAGAGACAGCAAGAGAGGGAACACAAGCAGAGGGAGTGGGAGAGGGAGAAGCAGGCCCCCCATGGAGTAGGGAGCCAGATGCAGGGCTCAATCCCAGGACCCCAGGATCGTGACCTGAGCTGAAGGCAGACACTTAACAACTGAACCGCTCAGGCGCCCCTGAAAAAGATTTTATAAATTGTTTGAACTCTTCAGTTTTGGGGTGGTTTGTTACACAGCCATAGATCACCACACCTGTCTCTCAGTAACTGAGAGAGCAAATGGGTAGAGAGAGCAAATTAAGGCCACAGAAGATCTGAACAACACTACTGTAACTGACATTTACCCAATGTATAAAAGACATTTTTTTCAGGAGCCTACGGAATATTCACCAAGACAGACCATCTGCCGAGGTATAAAACAAGATAAAAGCCCTAAAAGCTGTAACTGTTAAGCTTTTAGAGAAAATAAAGAGCATCTCTTCAAAACCTTGGGATAGGCAAATATTTCTTAAGAAAAACACCAAAAGCAATAACCATAAAAGAAAAAAGTGGACTTCATCAAAATGCAAAACTGCTGCCCATCAAAAGACACCGTGAAAAGAACAGGTAAGCCAAAGACTAGCAGAAAACAGTCACAAACCATGTATCGGTACATCTGACAAAGGACTTGTATTCAGAACATACAAAGAACTACAATTCAAAAATTAAAGGGCAAATAACCCAATTAAAACATGAACAAAAGATTTTAACATGCACTAACCTTATGGGCAATAAGTCTATGAAAAGATACTCATTACCTTTAGTTAACAGGAGGCTGTAAATAGAACCACAATGAAATACTACTACACATACAAGAGAATGGTTACAATTTAAAAGACTTAAAATAACAAATACTGATGACATTTAGAAATACTTGGCATTTCTTAAAAACTAAAGCACACATTTACTCTTATTATTCAGCAATTCTACTTCAGATACTTACCAAGAGATAGAACATATTTACCAAAGAGAAGTAACACAGGTCAAAAACAGACCTGTTTAAGAATGTTCATAGCAGTGTTATTCATAACAGCCCGAAGTTGAAAACAAATGGTGGGATATTCAGATAACTATCATCAGCAATGAAAAGGAACAAACTACTGATTTCTGCAGAAACAATAATTTTAAAAATATGCTCAGCATAAGAAGCCAGACATACTCTTATGACTCCATCTGTATGAAATGCAGAACAAGCAAAATTAATCTACAGTGATAGAATTTTAAAAGGTGTTTGTGCAGGCATTGAGTAGAAGGAACAGGACTGGCTAAGAAGGGGCACTGGGCATGTTTTTGTGTGATGAAAACATTCTGTATCTTCCTAAGGGTGGTGGTTACATGCTCGGAGTGGATTTGTCAAAATGCACTGAACTGTAGGCTTACGACAGGTGTTTTTTAAAAAAATTAAAGAAAACTTACATTCAGTAGCAGTAACCTGGCAACTTTATTTTTCCATCTTTGCCTGTAATAATGCAATTACTCAAACTCCATACTATTCTTGTTTATGTGGTACAGTAATCTTTCTCAAGTTTTGTTTTGACTTCTTACCTTGTTAACTTCTGGTGTGAGGATCTCTATTTTTCTTAAACGTTGAAAAGCATCATAATCAGTTTCTCCAAACAGTCTGATTGGTTCTCCTCTTTCTCTCAATCTTCTGATAACCTGTAAGAAGTAATAACAATAAAAGTAATTCCAATGTTTTGAGTAACAGTAATTCCTCCTTTAGGTGACCAAATACTTATTCTGAAATGTAGATAGAAAAAGTCAGTTGTGTTTGTTTTTTCTTTAATTTTCCGTGAATGGATATAGTAAGTTACTGTCACACCTTTAAAAACCCTACCATGTTTAAGGTCCTTTGGCTGACTGTTTCAGCAAAGGCTCCATCTGTATCACAGAATACCTAAGAAAAACATTAAGATGGAAGGGAGTGATAACTTTTATATACTTTTTTTTTTTTATATAGAAGGAAAATAAGTCCGGAGTCAGTTGATAACTCATGGACCATAGCCTGGCATCAGCATTCCAAGACTACATTAAAACCAAACACTTATCTCCCAGAAGAGAAGTGAGTAATGATCAGGGCAGGGCACAGGTCAGGCTTTTGAGGGGCTGATAATACTGTGTCTTGACTTAGGTGATAGTTAATGGGTGTTTGTTTTATAATCCTTCATTATATTGCACATGCATGTTTAGTATGTTATTTGTATACATGTTCCATTTCATAACAAGAAAAAAATAACTGAGAAAAATAAAGGTTGATCCAAAATATTCTTTAAGTATCAAGAACTTTATCTGGAAATGTAAATAGTAGCACAGAAACTACTGGTCGAGCTCCACTGAGTTAACCAAAGCTTGGTATTCAAAAGCAGCTTAAGAGGCCATCCGGTGCTATCACCCATCAATGCAGAAATGACCTCAAACACACCTCTACCAGGTCCGTGACTGACAAATGATAGGGACCACATCTCTTCATCCCAGTTTTGGACAGATAGGTTTTACTTCTCACAATAAACTAAAACCTTCCTCCTTCAAAATTCTACCCACTTATCTTAGTTCTACTTTATGAAACCACAGAGAATACGAAATTCTTTCTCAAAATTACAGCTGCTATCAATGGATTTTTTTTGTGTGTGTCTGCAATATTCTTCTCTTTGGGCTAGGTATTCCAAATTCCTTCATCCAATTTTCCCATGACAGCATTTAGAGTCAGCTGTCCTTTCCTCCCTTTCCATCTGTTCCATTTTTATTTGGTACCCCTCTGTATAGTTTGCATTCTTCACGTCACATGAGTTATCTTGAAATTTTTGTTGTTTTTGGCTTTTTCATAAAAGTAATATTGATACTGACCAGAGTATAGACGAGCACTGTAGTTAAAGAGTACAAACTGGGACAACAGGTCTACAGAGCCCTGTGGTGATACGTACCCCAAGTCATAGAAATGCACAGTCTTTAGTCAACAGACTCCAGAAACCATGCTTCTAGCAAATTTTCCAAAAGGAACAATCATACATTAGCATCATGCAATGACATCTGTATAAAGACGTTCATCTTAGTTTGATTTATAATCAGGAAATGCTGAAGCAATCTAAATGACCATTATTAAAATAATAGGTTTCTAAATTATGGGAAATTATATAGTCATAAAAAATTATACAGATCTGTATTTTGACCTAGAAAGATGTATTAAGTTACAAAATGTATGTTTAAAATAATTTAGACAAATAATTTATGTATAATTAATATATATATTTTTTTAGAACAATGTGTTTAATTTTTAAAGTTTAGAAAAACATTCTTTTAAAAGTTTAAGAGTATCGGGCGCCTGGGTGGCTCAGTCGGTTAAGCGACTGCCTTCGGCTCAGGTCATGATCCCAGGGTCCTGGGATCGAGTCCCGCATCGGGCTCCCTGTTCTGCGGGGAGCCTGCTTCTCCTTCTCCCACTCCCCCTGCTTGTGTTCCCTCTCTCGCTGTGTCTCTCTCTGTCAAATAAATAAATAAAATCTTTAAAAAAAAAAAAAAAGTTTAAGAGTATCGAGAAAAGCAGAGATTGGGGCATCTGGGTGGCTCAGTTAAGCATCTGCCTTTGGCTCAGGTCATGATCTCAGGGTCCTGAGATCGAGCCCCCAAGCCCCTCAGCCCCCATGTTGAGCACCCATGGCTGGCTCCCTGCTCAGCGGGGAATCTGCTTCTCCCCTCTCCCTTTACCTCTGTCCCTACCCCTGTGCTCATGCATGTGTGATCTCTCTCTCAAATAAATAAAATCTTAAAAAAAAAAAAAAAACAGATTAATTTAGAACCTCAAGAAGAAAAACCGGCCAGCTGCACATTAGTTTAGTTCAGTCAGACATGTTATATAGGCAATAATGACACAGAGCTTACTGGAAAGAACTGGAGATAAATGCAAATGCTCTGAAGATTTTTTTTTTTTTTTTTCCTATCAAACACCCTACATAAACTTACCTCTTGCCTAGAAAGAGTCATGGGTAACTTTTCCTCTGCCAGTTCAAGTTCTAGCACTGGATTTGAAGAAGTTAATGGTTTCTGGTCCTCCTCTTTCGGCTGTATCTGTATTAATAGCCAAAAGAAATAAAATACAATTTTTTAAAATATAATACAGCTAATATTTACCATTCTATGCATTAACTGGTCATGGAAATTAAACATGTTTTAAATATTGAAGGTTTTCTAAATGTTCTACCGAGGAAAAAGCTCCTAATAAATGTACATGCTTTTGAAAACTCCTCAAACTCCTCCGTTTTAGAGACACAAGTAGCAAACATGCACACAGGAGACAGCATTCTTGCTACTGAAAAGTGACAGAAATATAATGGTTTCCAAAATCAAAACCTTTTAAAAGGGCTGAAATTTAGACTCCTTTCTCCCTAGACTCTAAAGAATTTTACTTTTTTCTTAAAAACAATCAACTTGCTTCTCTTCCTTGAGAAAATCATCCTACAGAGTTATCTGATCCTTGCTCTGGGTTTTAAGTGAAGACTCAAAAAAAAGAACTGCTTTCTAAGAAACCTGTGAAGCCTCAAGCTCCTGCTTTTTCCTACCCTCCTTTCTGAAAGGTAGGATTCCAAGTGCACCGAAATCACTGCTGGACAGGTACAAACACTGCCAAAGCTACAGAGAATCTGCCCCTGAACGGAGCGAGGAACCCTCGGGAAAGAAGAGCACTGCAGCATCAACAATAGCTATAGCACCTCTACCCTCATCCCACAGAGTGGACATTCTTGTGCATAGGGACCTGCAGGGGGCAAAAATCTCTTCCTGTGTTTTGCGTCTGCTGCCCAGCGCACAGTTTAGGAAAATTAAGTTCAGCAACTTATAAGCCCCATGGTGTGTGTGGTCTGTAAAAACATACTGAAACATGGTTTCCCATCCGATCATGAAACTAATCTAAAATGCCAAAAGAAGATCAAAAAAACCATAAGAGGTCAACATTAAGGAAAAAACATTCAGTTAAGAAAGGCTCTATGGTTAAAATTATATCATTTCTGATTCTGTAGTTAATGGCTAAAGATTGTTAATCGGTGCTGACAGAAAATTGAGGTAAAAAACTAAACTTCCATATTTTCACACACCAAATCGGCACCAAGCCTCATAAATGGTAACTAGTTTTCATAAAGGAATACGAGTAATACATGCTGTATTTTCATTACTACCAAGAAGGAAATATTAAACATGTTTTAGAGAGAAAGCCCTACGCTTTCTTTTTAAGCATAAAAACAGGTATTTCTCCCCAAATCTCAGGATGAAAAGCATTTTTAATTATAGGATGCCAGTTCATTGCTTGTAGGGAAAAAAAAAAAAAACTGAAGACATATTGTTAGCAGGACTCAATGTTACAATCAGTATCTTTATTTTGCTTCAGTGCTTGTCTCTAAACAAGAAAGTACGAACATATCACTGAAGCAAACTAAACAATGCAAAACTGCCCCTGTTTTAAATTATTTCCCTACCTTACCAAAAAGTTGAAAAGGTTCAAATTTAGGGATCTGGGAAAGCAACAAGTGAGCACACTAAACCCACAGTCAGTGATTCTCTCTCCAGATCAAGTGTCCATTAGACAACGATGGGCAAGCAAAAGATGAGAATTCTTCTGAGTATTCGATGGCTATTTACATAAATTGTGTTTTAACTTCCTAAACAGGAAGCGAATGAAACCAATATATTTATGGAAAATATCAAAATACAAACGCAAACTTTCGTATTTTAGAAATCTATCAGAAACGTAAAACTACATTTTTAACACTTGCCCTCTGCCAACACTACAAAACCAAACCAAATTTGCATTCCTCATGCTTCCTTCTAGAAATGCTATGCCAGACAAATTAATTTCTAGAACTTTCCCCATCACATGCACAAGAATATATTATACACATTTCACAAGCAAAAAGTTGATGTCAAATTTATGATCTGGCAAAAATATTTCAACAGAACCTCTAAATTTTGTTTAAAAAATTATCAAACCAAATACTGTCTTCTTTTAAAGTAATTTAAACAGAATTTCACCTCATAACATTTAACCCCTCCCAATAAAAACCCCAAAATATTATTCAACTAGGATAATAGCTGAACAGGATAATAATAGGGTAACCTTAAGGATACTTTTAGTCATGCTTCAAAAATATACAGTCTTTCAGACAACTCATTTGTTTCTAACAAATATTTCTACATATTTTCTATACAATAGACAAGCAGTGTTTGAAATGTGGTACCTTATTACACAAAAGCATATAAATGTATGGCATTCTATCTCAGGCAGAGGTACTCAGCGCCAAAAGGAATTATTAACAATGCAAACATAAAAACAATGACTTAAGATATTCAAGTGAAAGTGGGGAAAATACCACTGGTAATACCACTGTGATTGAATAAAATGTTTTGAAACCCTTTAAAATAGACTTTTATTGGGAGAGGTGGGGAAAGGAGTGGTGGTGGAGATGAAGATGAGGCAGTATCAGATCCAGGAATTAAAAGAAAAAAAAAAATTCAAGCTTTGATCTCAAGCCACTTCATGCTGTCCACAAAAAGCCAAACCATTCCAAGCCAAAAGTCATGCATGTATTCTCCTGAATTCAAGATTAAAAAAGAAGAAGAAAAGAAAAAAGCTCATACCTCTCCAGATGGCTTCTCATTTATAGGCTAATGTATAACATTGATAAAGTGAACAGAGATCAATAATTTTGTCACTTTAACAACAGCTGTAAAAATTTAAACTCAGAAACATACAATAACATAAAAGCAGGCAGTCATACCTTGTAGCCACATCTTTCAAAATATGCTTCCTCTTCTTTTTTTGCAAGTTCACTACGCTTGAAATACTTTTTATTTTCCTATTGAAGAAAGAAGTACATTAATAGGTCCCTGGGTAAAATTTCATGTTCCATAGTCAACCTAAAAACACTCTTCAGTTTTTCAAGAGCATGGTCAAGTTTGATTCTATAGCGATTATACTGATTTCTTGAACATGGCACCTGTCCTCTACCCTGCTCTAAATATGAAGTATTTTTCTTACAGCATCAGTTTAACAGGCATATCCAACAGGAAAGAGAAGAAACCAGCAATATTTTCCAAATGTTCACATTGTTTTGATTTGATTTCCCAATGTTTGCTTTCAATGATAATTTCTACAAATGAATTCATTACGAACCACATAAAATAGGATGCTTTATTTTCTCCCAACAGAAACAACTGAACAAAACTTAGGGTTAACTTTTGTATCTGACATCTTAACTCCCATTACCCAGAGAGCTGCAAGGGTGTGTCCAAATTCTTCTTGTCACTTGGAATCTTTTTTATCAATTAATTGTATTTGTATTAATCAAGTCTTAAAATTGTATTAAATCTTAATCTCGACATGAAATGGTCTGAAAGTATTAACAAAATCATTTAAAGCTATTTGTTTTATAAGATTCAGTGTTATGGGCGCCTGGGTGGCTCAGTTGGTTAAGCGACTACCTTCGGCTCAGGTCATGATCCCAGGGTCCTGGGATCGAGTCCCACATCGGGCTCCCAGCTCAGCGGGGAGCCTGCTTCTCCCTCTGACCCTCTCCTCTCTCATGCTGTTTCTCTCTCACTCGCTCTCTAATAAATAAATAAATAAAATCTAAAAAAAAAAAAAGATTCAGTGTTATGAGACAAGCTCTAAATCTGTAGGAGAAAACAATATTAATTCTCTACTACGTACATTATTCTCATTGTTAAACCTACAGTTCCTAATTTGGATGTTGTTACCGTCTACTGCTATCCCTCTTGGATATTATTCCACTAATGATTTAGCTCAAATAAAGCTACTGCCCTACTTTATTAGTAGTAACTGTAATAGTACCCAAGTAATACCTCCACACATGTATTTAGCACCTCACAGTTCCCAAGCTCATTCACTCTGGCAATAATCATGGATGCTAAGTTCATGACAAGAAGGGTTGACAGTGAACACTGGACAGCTCAGACTACCACACTTGAAGGCACCGGTCAAGCCTGGCATCAGGAAAACATTATGTGTCCCCTATGTGATACACATAGCATCTACAAAGTATTCTTGCCCAAAAACCGCATGTCAATCTAATCACACATTCAAGTCTCATTTTAAATTCAATTTAGTTAACATACAGTGTATTATTAGTTTCAGGGGTAGAATTCAGTGATTTCTGAGTTCCAAATAACACCTAGTGCTCATTAGATCAAGTGCCCCCACTCACCTCCCCTCCAGCAACCCTCAGGTTTGTTCTCTATAAGCTGAGAGTCTCTTATGGTTTGCCTCCCTCTCTGTTTTTATTTTTCTTTCCCTTGCCCTATGTTCATCTGTTTTGCTTCTTAAATTCCACATGAGTGAAATCGTACAGTATTTGTCTTTCGCTGACTAACTTATTTCGCTTAGCATAATACCCTCTAGTTCCATCCACGTCACCGCAAATGGCAAGATTTCATTCTTTCTGATGGCTGAGTAATATTCCTGTGTGTGTGTGTGTGTGTGTACACACATATACACACACCACATTTTCTTTATCCATTCATCTGTTGATGGTAGGTCTCATCTCTAGTTTATTAGAAATCTAGGGAAGAGGGAAATAAGCTAAACACCATCACTGGGAAGCAAACACTGGGACATTTACCAAACTAGCAAGTTTCTCCAACAAGTTAAAGGCATAAAAAAGGGGGGGGGCAGTGTGAATGAAAATGTTCTTGATTAAAAGAAACCAAGAGTCATAGTTAAACAAATGCAATGAGTGGACTGAGTGGCTCGGATTTGAACAAACCAACTGTAAAAACATGTATGTATAGATTTTAATTCAATTGAGGACATTAAAACATGAGAGGAGTATTTAATGATATTAAGGACCTAACTGCAATTTTGTTGGGTAGGATCACATCTTGTTTATTAAAGAACATGTTCTTATTTTCTAGAGTTACAAGTGCTAAGACAAGGATAGATAGAGGTTCATTATGTAATTCTCTTTTTGTATATGTTTAAATTTCTCATGATAAAGTTTTGTTTTAGTCTATTAACTCAGTGAACATTCACTAATTCATCTACCACACACTAAGCACAGCTTTATAGATGTAAAGTTGAAGGTACTGTCAGGAATAAGGAACTGATGGCATCATCCCAACAGCAATACTACCTGAGAAAGCAATAGTATTAATCCCAGTTTAGACATGAGAGACCTGAAAGGGCAGGGGACATTTTCACAACTTACTGAGCCTCATGAGTAATACGCACAACTAGAACTCTGGTCCTTAAATCCTTTGAACTGATCCAGTATTGCAAACTACAGTTCTTCACTCCTAAAATCTTATCCCAGCATCAACTGTTTCTTTTGACTACAGAGCATGTAGCTGTTGTATTTTTTTTTTAAAGCTTTTTTTATTTATTCGAGAGACAGAGAGAGTGAGACAGAGAGAAGCACAAGTGGGAGGAGGGGCAGAGAGAGAGTGAGAAGCAGACTCCCGCCGAGTCGGAGCCCAGATCCTGACCTGAGCTGAAGGCAGACGCTTAACCGACTGAGTCACCCAGGAGCCCGTAGCTGTCATATTTCATATAAATAAGCTGATAAGCACATACTGGTATCCTCTCAGAAAGAGCGGATAGGTAGGAAAAAAATAAAGGACTCTCCAGGCCAGAGTCCGTGGTGCAGGCTGTGGTAGCATCTGTTACTAGCACGCCCCGATTCCATGGAATACACCTAAGAAAATCTTAGCCCAAAACACTGATTCTCAAAATGTGGCTCATGGACCTCTGGGAGGTTCCTAAGACCTTTTCAGAGGTTCTGCAAGGTCAGACGTATTATCATAATAATACTGAGAGGTTATGCACCCCCCTTTTCCCTGCAATCACACCTGCACTGATGGTACAAAAGCAGTGGTGAGGAAAATCATTGGAACCTCAGCACAAATAAAGGTAAGTATTGATCTTCATGTCTCAGAGTTCATTGTATTCTTCATCTTTTAGTATTTGGTATGATGAAATCAAACATATAAAGCAGTTTTGCTACATAATAAAGTAGGACAGTTGTCTCCTGTTTGGCAGACGTTTTCTCAAAACTGAACAAAGCAAGCCTGTTACTAAAAGGACAATGATACTATCTGTTGCCTATGATAAAATTCCATCTTTCAAGCAAAAATCAGATGGTGGCAAACTTGCAGCCATCACTATGAACTTGATGGCTTCCCAATACCTAAAAACTTTTCTGATGAATCAGTGGTGATATTAATGAATGCCATTTTTTAATATCATCTAATGAAACATATCACCATGTAGAAGATCTATGTAACTCAGCAAACTACGACAGTACAAAGGAAACAATTCCAAAATTATGCATAGGCAAAAGATTTATGAGCAGAATAGATCAGAACAGATCTGGAGCATAACAGATCAAAAGATTGTAATATACAAAAAGTTCACTGATGGGGCACCTGGCTGGTTCAGCCAGTGGAGAATGTGACTCTTGATCAAGGGGTTTTAAGTTCGAGCCCCACATTGGGTATAGAGATTACTTAAAAATCTTTAAAAAAAAAAAAAAAGTTAACTGATAACGGTCAGAATCCATACTCTCATCTTTAAAAAATTTATCATTGTGTAGTTTTAATATAGTATCAAAGAAGAATATCCACAATTATCTGAAAAGGCTATTAAAATACTACCCTTTCCAACTACCTAGCTGTGTGAAGATGAGGTTTCCTCATATACCTGAACAAAAACAATGTATCGCAACAGGTTAAACGGAGAAACAGGAGAATCCAACTGTCTTCTAACATGAAAGGAATTAAAAAGATTTGCAAAATTGTTAACCGTCATTCTTCTTGCTAATTTCTTTTGTCTTGGAAAATACAGTTTTCATAAAAGCATTATGTTAACACACACAGGTTTATTATAGTATGAAATAGAAGTCAACATGGAATATAAGTATTTTTAAATTTCCCAGTTTTAATTTTTTAATTCTTTATTATTCTTTTTGAGAGACAGAGTGCATGCATGCACTAGTAAGGGGAGTGGGGGAGGGCAGAGAGAGAAAAAGAATCTCAAGCAGGCTCCACATCCAGCACAGAGCCTGACACAGGGCTCGATCTCAATACCCTGAGATCCTGACCTGAGCCAAAATCAACAGCTCAGATGCTTAACTGACTGAGCCACCCAGGCACCCCTAAATTTCCCAGTTTTAATTTCTAATCGAGTAATTATCAATAAATACATCCTTTATAAAACAAAAGCTCTCTGCAGCCATCAATTAAACATGTAAAGGGGTTCTGAAATCAAGAAGTGAGAACCAAGGTCCTAGTAGAATCCCCTCATTGGCCCTCCCTATGCCTTTACCCAGTGTGCCAAGCAATACTGAAACCACTTGGGCCTCAATGCTGCCCACTGATCCTGGTGTATTTATCCAGTTTGCTCTCCTATTCTCTACAATGACCAGTACACATTCTCCACTCTCTTAGACCTCTTATCCCTTCATTTCCCCCTAATTCTCAGCAAATGACTAAGCCACTCTGTTACAGAGAAAAGGAAAGCCATTGAAAGAGAAGTCCTCCCAGTACCAATCCTTACTGGCTCTGCACCAATTCTTTCTTCATTTCAGAATGGAAAAGGAAACCCTCCTCCTGCCTAAGGCCAATCCCTTCCAGGGGCATTCCAGATCTCAAGATCTCCCTGCTGGGCAAGGAGCCAGATGCAGGGCTCGATCCTACGACCCTGAGATCATGACCTGAGCTGAGGCAGATGTTTAACCGACTGAGCCACCCAGCTGCCCCTGAATGAATTAACAATAAAATTAATTTGCTTTTCATTTTGGAATTATAATAAGATAAAAATATTTTGCTTTATACTAAGTGACCA